CTAAACTTTCATCGCCAGTACAGCCAAAGAAATCACCTGAGAAGGAACATCCGGATAAGTTAATAGGCATGGAAATAACAGAAGCCTTACAAACTGACCATGTGGACCTTGTGGTACAAAAACCAGACAAACCACTTGATAAACTTGACCCTAAACTTTCATCGCCAGTAGAGCTAAAGAGATCTCCTGAGAAAGAATATCCAGATAAATTAATAGGTGTGGAAACGACGGATAGTTTTCAACCTGACCATTCAGACATTCTTAAGGCGACATCATTTGGCAAACTTGATTCTAAACTTTCATCGTCAGTAGAGCCAAAGAAATCTCCTGAGAGAGAACTTTCAGATAAGGCAACAGATGTGAAATCGACAGGTGACTTAGTACCTGACCGTGCAGATGTTCTTAAACCGAAAGCCTTTGATAGGCTGGATATCAAACTCTCTTCGCCAATAAAATCGAAAAAATCGCCTGAGAAAGAACATCCAGATAAGTTACTAAATTTGGAGCTGGTAGAAAACTTACAAACAGATTGTGCAGGTGTTCTTCGTCCAACATCGACCAAACCACTTCACAAGCTTGATTCTAAAGCGCCGTTGCCGGCCGAATTTTTGAAAACTGCTGGAAAGGAGCAACGAAATGAAATATTAGTTCCGAATGTGACAAATGTCTTACCAATCGACTATAGCGATCATCATAAAACTGAGCCCATTAATAAACTTGAGCCGAGGGTCTCACCCCCAGTAGAATTAAAAGAATCGACTGAAAAAGAAAGTCTGCGCGACCACTTACCTATCGAAGTAGAGGATTTTTCGTTACCTGAGTTAAATAAATTTAAAGATCAAAGCATATCTAAGAGTAAGCCACATATCGATAAAAACTTCGATAAAATCATATTAAAAGATTCTGGTGCAATCGCATATTTCGTTGGCCTGGAGCAAACTGTTGACCGTACGGAGCGATCCAAACGTCCTGAAACTGTCTGTCCTCAGATTGAGAGTAAATTTAGTGCAATCATTCTAGGTACTGGTAAAAAGCCCACAAATTTAAAAACGATCAATTCAAACAAGACTCCTAGAAAGCTCCCTGCCAAACGAACCCAAGACTCTTCTAAAACCACAACTGTTGAAAAACCTCATATTGTCAGTGAAGTAGAAAATAAAAAGCCTTCTAGAAAGTCAACCCCCAAACAAGATGAACGAAACCCGACAAAGCTGGTTGCCCTAAATAATCAGATTCGTTTAGAACGTATATCCCGCACTAAAACACAGCCCACCACTCAAAGTGCTAAAACTGACTCCACTTTCACAAGAACAAAGCCAAGACAAAGAACTGAGATTACCAGTCTTCCACAAAATCAAACATTGCGCACATTCAGTCCCCCTTCTACCCACCCCAAGCCCGATTATTCCGGAGTTACTAGTATCTATGCCCACTTACGGAAATCTCAAAAGAAAAGTGCTTCCATTAAAAGTAAAGAAAGTACAACGGTATCAAGAAGCTCTACACCTAATGAAGAGTCTCAATCTAAACGTACAAGGACACCAACCCCTTCGAAAATGTATAATTACATGCGGCCCACAATGGCCCACAACTTACGCTACGGAGTATCGAAAACATCTGAAGACGAAATCAGTGTGGAAGAAAAGCTACCGCGGTCTCCAGTTCCTACAAAAAGAAGTGATTTAGAAAAATCTGGTCCCAAGAGAAAGAAATTAACTAAACTTGGGTCAAATATATCTGGATCTAAAACTAGTCTAAGCAAAAGTCTGCATCAAGTTCAAGATAAGGATATAACAACGGTGAAATCACCAGAAGTTAAACCTAAGAAAAAGGCATTTGGTCCTGTAAAATCAGGGTCTGAGAAACGCTCCGTGCAACATTTAAAAGAACATAAGCTTCAAAGATCTGAACAGTCTGTATATGATCGTAGACTTCTGCAAAAAAGACAAAACACTGAAAGAGCGGAAAAAATTGCAACTAAAAAAGCCGGCAAAGACGAAAAAGTTAAATTCGATGAAATGACTAGCACTAAGAAACAAATTTCGTTAGTTTCATCGAAAGTTTCCATTGGCAGAGCTACAGAAACGGGTTTCTTTCAAACACAAAAGCGGGATAAAGTTCAAGAAATTAAAAAATTTGAAAGTAAATCAAGAAGTCAGGATAAACATTCTACCACGAAAAAAGTTATCGACAAAGAAAAGTTATCTGACGACGTTAAAGTGCAGAAGAAATTAAAAAATACCATTAACCAATCAAATGCAACATCTTCAACTTCCTTCAGTGTTCGTAAATCCAAATCGAAAACTACTGCTCGAAGTGCAGCGTCAAAAAAAATTGAAAAAGAAATCGCAAACCAAAGATTGACCGAAAAGAAGCCTTTGACAACCACTACTACACGAATATCGACTATCAAATTGTATCGAGAACCAGTTCTCACAACTCTTGTTAGTACAGTTATAATTGATGATGGCGACTCTGAGAACACAACGCGATCTACGCGATCTAATGACAGCACCAAGAGTTCATCTTCCACTGGCAGCAAGAAGATCATAACAAGTGAAGTGTTTACCAAAACATTTGGACCCGATAAGCCGTTCGAAGTTATTTATCGTCAACCTGAGGTAGATTACATGTCAATGATGCGTCCTCAATCTGTTGAGCAACGCTGCGTCAATGAATTCGATGTCAGTTTCATCGATACAACAGATTCTAGTCTTTCCGATTCAGTGGCTTTACCGATATTTGGCTCTGATCAAGATCGACTACATGCAGCAAGTCCAGGTTCACCGAAACCAACAAGAAGCCCATTAGCTTTAATTGAAGAAACTGTTCGCAAACAACAAATGGATGGTTTTGCTCTGGATCCTACCCTCCAAAGGCAATTTGAAGCTGTTGGTATGATAAATGCCATCGAAAGCCCAACTTCTGAATTAATCCTCAAACCTCAAGGTAAACAACTTTTAGTACTAGTATGCATAGCCCAACCTCTTGCAATTTAATAATATATTTATGTCTATGTATGTATATGTCTATGTGTGTACAGAAGCACATTTGCTCAACAAACGTTTTTGCTTAAGTATTCTCGTAACTATATATAGGCATGTAGGTATTTCATAATACACACCATCCTAGGAAAATTATAAAAGTTTACGAGTAATAAATATGTACGTATGTATGTGTGTGCGTGTGTAAATTTGTATGTACATCTTTGTATGTACGTATGTTTTTTGACGTTCTTCGTTTTTTTTCTTTTTTTAATAAATAAATAAGCAAACAAGCACACAAATAGACTTTGCTTAGCCATTAGTTTTATATATTTGAACAGCAAATTATTATTAATCATTATGTCGATTAAATCACCTACAACGTCGGTAACTGCTGAGTTGTACGCTCACTTGACTTCCTCTGATGATTCTGACTATTCCTTAAGTTCTAATTCGAGCAGTAATGAGATGGATTACAACCGTAATTGGGGTGGAAGGTTAACTGATGTCGAAGATGTTGAAAGTCAAGCAGATATGGAGGAAGCCAAGGCTTTCACCAGCACATCGACATTACCGTTAAAGAAGGGGCAAAGCGATGGAACAGATATTGAAGACTACAGTGATTCTGATAGCGAAGACGACGATCGAAAAAGCTGTACTTACCCCGAGTTACAGATGTCCTTGCAGGAATTTTTGCAACACAATATACAGCAGCACTTATCAGTAAACAATGAGACAAAGGAGCACACTGAACTTAAGAGTGGCAATTTTTTGCAAGCTCAATGTCTTAACAATTCGAATGATTACTTAACCGATAACGAAGAATACAATACTGAGTCCGATCTCGAAGACAATTGCGAAGCTTCAGTACGTTATGATCTCGATACGGTGTTTGCCGAACAAGGACGTTTAAACATAGCTGACGCCACAGAGCCTGAGGATGATGGTGAAAACTCAGAGGACACTTACGAGGAAGTATCTGTACTAAGTGATATTAGTGATATGGCATCAGCCTGCTCTAATGTGACAGATGCCGAACTTCAAGGACTTTCTGAAAATGAACTTTTGGAAATGTCTGATAATGAAGAAGTCTGCCAAATAGCTTGCTCCGATACCGAATCGGAGAAGGCCGGCATCAATAAATCGGACAGCATACTATACAACAATAACGTATTACCTATTGATGTTACATTTCTAACGCCGGCAGAAAGCACTATGAACAATCCGCAACGAAAACATTCTTTGACTAAAACAGTTATAAAAAAACATAATAATAACAATAATTTATTTCTTCAAGTCAGTGGTTACAATGAGGATGTATTAACAGATACTGAGCGATTAGATGATTCATCAGCTGGAGAAGATAGTTTTGGTGACGATGAAAATAACGAACAGCCAATACCGCAAGCCGTTATTCAAGCTGCTGGGGATGACGGTGTTTGCCAAACGGATTGTGAAGAATTCGACTGTGACGATATATGTTCTGCTTCAACGTCGATGGACGCCCTTGCGATTGACATCAACACATTGCCCCCGCCAGAACGTGAAGTGATTGTCCTTCACGAAAACAATTACGGTGATACAATAGCCAGTGTTATGCCAATGGAAAATGAATTCCATTTCGGTTTAGGTAACAATACGAAAGATGAATGTCTTACAGATAGTGAAGATTATTCGTGTGCGGAAAATATCGATACACATTGTTCTCCGGTCGATCATACAGTCGGGACGAATGAGTTAATTGAAAGTGAAATAACCATAGAAAATGAATCGTTAAAAGCTCAGCAAACCAAACGAATTGAATTACATGGAAACGTGGAGTCACCAACTGATATCGAGGAAATTTACGTTGCTGGCACAAATACTAGACGTAAAAAATTAAGAGCACGAACTATGAGCAAAGGCAAGTCAAAGACTCTAGAACCTCCTAAAGTCTATGATGATGGCAGCACTGAAGTAGAAGATATGGACGATATAGATTTTAATAGTTACGGTCCCCGGCAAACGACATCGGATGGTATACCTACGACTCAAACAGATTCGACACAAATAGAAGAACTGACAGCAGATGACGATTCCCCAGTATCGGATAACGAACCGCGTATAGCCGACGCGAATAATACTAATTGCTATGTTTACCCCTGTAGTAGCGGTAATGTACTAATTACCGAAGATGCTGGCATGTCGCACTTACCCAAAAAAAGTCTAAGAGAGCAATCAAAAAACAAGCTTAGCCAAAGTTATCAGCAACAAACAGATGACGAGGATGTGCAGTTGCAATCAGATGATGAGGAAGTGAAAGAAGAAAAGAGTACCGCCGTGGTTTCAGTATATAAAGAATTGAATGATATGCTTAATGAAAGCTACACGACAGTACATGAAAAGTGCAGTAATAATTTCGACGTTGACGCCGAAAGAATGCATATTAAGGGAATGATTCGCGAGGCATATACTGACAGCGAGTACATCGAATCTGATGAATCAGCAGCTAAAAATAGCAAATAAATCATAGCTACCATTAAGTTCATATGCATGTATTCACCTTAGCCAGTACAACTACTATTGTAAGTATTCGAAAATTGTTTTAAGTAAGACTTCTGTTCTCATACATACGAGTATTGCTTGAGATGGCTTTCGCATAAGTAAGTAGCTTGTAATTAAATTTTTCTATCATATTCGTCCAATAAAATTCAATATAATATGGCCTTTTTACTCTCTCTGAAAATGTCAAGTAATTCATTAAATTTAAATTTTGTCGTTCCGTTTGTAACAGTTGTGGAATATTAAGCAACAGAGTCCTCATGTAGTAGATAGACGGGTACATATACATGTGCTGATGCATATCTTTAGTCAAAACAAATGATTTATTTGCTTTCTTTGACAAGTTCTAGTTTTAATATCGTAATATAAATACACTATCTATACTAATATTTGACTTTCATTAGAAAAAAAAAAAAAAACAGTTTTTTTAGTAATTGAAAATAGTATGTTTTTAAAAATTCTTAATTTGGAAAACTTGTTTTACTTTTCAGAAACCCTTGATGAATATCTACCAGAATCTCACAGCAAGACTACGAAACAAGGTGCGTCGCCTAGTAATATATGATAAAGACATTAATAGAGACAAAAAATATTAATGAAGAGAAACTAAGCAGGTTAAGTTGTAATTTACTGATTCTCTTTAAACATTGAGGGCGTTTAACACGAATAATATATATTTTGCTAGTCAAAATTCCCACTGCCAGCAAAGTTTAAAATTAAAATTTTGAGGTGGCTCGACTTAACTGATATGTTTGCGTATACCACAAAATTCGTAAGCTTGCGATTGTAAACCTAAATACGACAAACACAAATCCCATTTTTGTGGCCGCGCAGATAATCGCACGTACAGAAAGACAAGCAGTCTAATATACGTCTCCATCGATTCCGTTATTTGCAATGGTTTAGAATCTTGGTTTTGAGAACATAAAATCCAGTGCAAATTATATACCACAAAAATCGAATGCATAGTAATAGTTATTCGATATGAAATGCTTGCACAGCCTAATATCTATTTCATTCAAATAGTCGGCGATAGTGTTGCATACTTTTGAAAATTGGAAAAACGAACTGATTTTTTTCATTTTCATTAATTACTTAATGTATTTACAGCAGACGATAAAGACGATAAGATCCTAGATCGGAAAGACGATACTAAATATAAGGATGGGGAGAAGCATGAAAAAGAAATGGACGATGAGGACGATGATGATGATGATGAAGACGATGAAGAAGACTACGAGCGCGACAAATCGGTTATAGATGCAGAAATTAGTGTAATGAAATTGGCCTCGGATAAGGATGAAAATGTGCGATTCCAAGCGAAAATCCTAGTGGATCGTGTACTTGAAGATAGCATTCACGTAGTCGATGAACAGCGAGATCAGGACGATGTCGACAATAATAAACATGATTACAATTCAGAAAGTGAAAATTACGCCATCACATGTGACGATATCAACGGCCTCGAAGTGATCAAGTCACCAACTATTGAATCAATGTCTGGTAAATCGTTTGACGACAATATGAGCTTTACTGATGAACATTTGACTGTTGCTACCACAACAAATACCACGCATGTATCAATTACAACCACTGTAACAACAGCAACATCTGCAATATCCTCATTAGCCACGCAACTACAACAACAACCATCAGATAGCGAAGTAATTACTGGCGTTAATAAAATCACAGAAAAAGGTAAATTATGATTATTAAGAAAAACGTCTTGAAGCACACATAGTACATACATAGATATATGCACACATACATGCATACATAGTACGCGTCCACATTTGAATATCCATATACCAATCTTTCTCATGTATGTATGTATATGTATATATGAATCTCGTATACAAAACTATATTTATAAAGTATTGTAGAGTGTAGAGAATGCAGTGTATATTTTTATAGGGTAAATATATATATATATATATAAATATATATATATAAATATATATATATACTTGCCAAGTATTAAATATTTGTAAAATATACATATCACATTATTAGCATTTCACTTGTAAGAATTACAATAATTCGAAACGACAGAGATAACAATATAATTGTTATATAGCAGTAGAACCCAAACAAAAAAAATATGCTTTTTTAAGTTTATAATTGAAAAATTACAAAGTCTGTAGTATGAATTTGTATGAGTAAAAGGGTTGCTTCAACTTTTTAATTTCCATCACAGTAGCTAGCGAACAGATATGCATGTCAGAGGGCAGTGATGAAAGAGAAGAAGATGAAACCGACATTATCATTAAGACTAGAACGCGTCGTATCGATCATAAGTTTCAAAAACTATCGGGAGGACAGGAACAAGATATCGATATGGGTGCTGCACAGTTCGATGAACAATTTGGTGCCATCGTGCAAGATGATGAGATAAGTAATTTGCAAGGCGAATTTTCGAAATTAAGTTGGGATGACAGTGTCTCACCGACCACCAATACACTGGGCGATATTGGTCAGAATACGCCTGATAATGATATACAAGATATTGCACCAGGTATTCTCTATAGTTTCTAATCGCTACCTTTCGTTATCTGACAATCAATTACACATAAACTACACATACAGCACCATGGCTTTGCAGAGAAATGCCAGATATCACAAAAGTATGAATGAATGATTTAATAACAAAGTTATAAATAATTAATGTACAAAAACGAAAACCTATCAGTATCTTCGAAAGTAATAACAATTTAAAAACGCACGCAAAAATTAATTAATATATAGGAACATATATATGGACATATATGTATGTGTATACATTTATATATATGTATATATATATATATATATATATATTTGTATATATTTATTACCACCCATATGCCTATGTATGCATTTAAATGTAAATTTAAAGAGTTTTTTAAGAGAGTATATGAGCTTTATAACCTAACGGATTTAATTGTGCCAGCTAGCAGTCAGTTTGCACATTAGTTTCATACTTTCTCTCTGAAAATTTGGTAAAGATATTCTACAGTTTTGTTTAAAATACTCGGTCAGATATATTCTTTTTATAATATTTTTGATTTTCATGACAGTTTGAGACGGTTTATGTCGTATTTAAACCTACGCTATGCCAAAATCACGGCTGTTACGTATTACGTATTACAGAAAAGTTGGCTATGCAAACAGCAACGTCTATGCCAATGCACTTTTCCCTTCTTAAATACGATGACGATGTAAACTCGGGAATCGCTTTCCGTTTGCACTCATTGGGTGACAATAGGAGACAATAAGGCAGGAGATGGAGTTACTTTGTCAGCATCTCACGCAAATTCATAGTCAAACTAAAAGGACATGATCACCATTTTTAATGGAGTCAGTAGATTACAATGTGCACTATTTTTATTGCAGACTATCAGATAAAGGGAGACTTTTAGTTTTCTCAAAGCTTGCGCAACACCTATAAAGTATGTGTATTCTTAAAGAGTATCACATTCTAAACTGATTTAAGAATATACATCTGTCCGCCTATCTGTCTACCTTCCTATCTCAATGCATAACCTCTCTTAGTTGGCCTACGCACTTATCGACTTCAAATTTGCCAGAAAGAGTGGAAAATCTCGCAGGACAAGCCCACAGTGCAACACAACCTTAGACCAATTCTGTTTCCGAAATTAAAAATAAATTGAAATTTTTTTATCTGTTACTTATAAACCACATTCATTTAATATATTTTATGGGTGGTCTTCTGGGTCTGCACGTCTACCTAATATTATAGTATATTGAAATTTCATTATTTTGTCCAAACGTGTGCACCCAGACAGAAACTTTAGAAACTCTATAAAGTCTACGCACTCTTGATTAATATCACATCTGAATCGTTCTAAACATGCTTCTCTGTCCGTCTGCGTAGCTATCTGAGTGCTTTTTTCGCATCCAAAATTGTAATCAGGCCTCGCAAGTTCGTCCCTCCTTTTCAACTTGTACATTCTTGCCAATCATCTGTCCGACTGTCCCAGTTGTTGAAATTGTGAACCGCAAAAACTGAGATATGAAACTAAAGCGTGGTCGCTTTATGAGTGTCCACATTGTAAATGAGTCTCTAATAATCAGCTAAAGAAATTCTAACAAGATGTTTCATCTTAGTCCAATAAGTGGACCAATGAAAGATCATGATTACATTGACTGAGGTAATCCCGCTCCTTATTTTTCTACCCATTAATCTAAATCGCCGGCAATCTGAAGAATGAATTTATTAAAAATTTTGTTTTATCCTGCATTGACGTAGACGTCTGTCTGTTTTTAGCTTTCTTGGAACTTGGATAATTTAAGAGCGATAACTATAACTTACGATAACATATCTGATATTTTTTATAGGAATACAGAATATGTCATATTGATCATGTTAAAAAAAAAAATTGTTTTTTTTAATTTAAATGCTGCGTATAACGATAATTATTTGCCTAAATAAATTTATGAAAAATGTAATCATGACTTACATATATATACAAACGCTTGTGTAAGATTTTATATATTTAAAAAAATTTACTTGCAACGTAATGTCGGTGTTTATTGATATCAGACTTTTGCTAAAGTTCACTTTGCGTGTGTGTGTGTTTTCTTTGTTTTCTTATGTTATTCTATTATTCTCAATACGAATGTATATACATGAATGCTGCATCATCCACTCACTGCTATCTCTCTATCTATTTATCTATCAATCAATCAATCTATTCTTTTATACGTTCGACTGTTTTTCGTTATCTTATTGTGGTTTTGTTAATCTTTCATTCCGACACCATTTTTTAAGATGCTTTATTTTCGCAATTATTACTTTATAGAAATAGGCGGTGATTTAATAAAATCCACGGTTATAACGCCCGTTCCACCGTCTGCAACAATTTCATCTAGTTCTACAGATATAATTGGTAGCAGTATTCAAGACACGCCCACGCCAAAACCTAGATTAATGAAAAGAACATCGCCGAGTGCAGAAGATATAAAAAAATTTGTTGAAATTGAAACCGCCGATGGTGGTAGCATTCCAAAATGTATAAGTGAAATTCCGGTGCCTAAGCCTCGTTCGCAAATGAAATCGACAGAATCATATAAAAATCTAGCTGCATTACAAGTAGACTCTGACAGTCCAACGGACATCAGTTTAACAAAACGAAACGCCACTGAAACAGTAATGGAAGGAACGACATCGTCAGATGACTCCGTTAAAAAAAGTGAAATCTTCGAAAGTTCCGGCAGTAAGACAAGCTTTTACATTGGTGAATCCAGCCAAAATATTATTATTAAAACTACCTCACCTAAATCATTATTAGACTTAGACGATAACGCCAAAAGTGTTTTGAACGAAATACCTCAAAAGAATGCCGAGGATATAAATAAGGAGAAAAAGGATTCTATTGAGTTTAAGTCCGCCGATCCTGATTATATGTCTAAAATCACACGTCAGAGTTCAGAAACTAGAAATGATTTATTGGAACAAGACGTGATTGTTTCATCTGATAAGAAATTTGAACCAACAGAATTCGATTTAACGATTAAAGATGCCAAAGATGAAGATGAAAATGAAAAAAAGGAAAAAATCGTTTTAGAAAAAATTGCACCTCAAAATGTAACACAATCACAACTTGAAAATGGTTTGAATAAGGAAATTTTCGAACCAAAGGGGGTTGAATTAGAAAAAAGATGTGAATTAGAATTACCACTAGAAAAAGATGACTGGGAAATAAACGCCAAGGAAATTCCCCCACCTAGTAAAAACAAAATAGTTTACTCACCGCAACAACCAACTGAGAAAATTGTGAAACCTCCTTTCACTGAAGAAATCGTGACCCAAACGCTAGATGAAGTGCAGGAATCTATCGAAGCTGCCAAACGCGGCCTCAAATCAGTTCTTAAAGATGCGAAATTGATTAAAGAGTCTCCGTCAGAATTCGAATTCCGTACTTTGGCACAGTCGCTTACCACTACCAAGCAACCGCACTTAGAAGATGGAAATTTATCTCAAATGGAATCCGAGGATATTTCATCTTTTATTGGAATACCAGAACCAGTTAGCAACGTCGTTGATAATTTAAATAAGAAAGCTGTAGCAGCTCATTATACAGAAACGATCACTGATGAAAAAAAATTAGAAAGTGGTGATGAATACGCTTCGCTGGGCTTTGTATCAACTGGAACGTACGATTCAGATCCTCAAATATCACGCGAAGATTACGCCTCATTGGGTTTTGTTTCCACTGAAACGGTAGAAGATTTCAGTTCAATGGAAGATTACTATCAAGAAAATATTGCCAAAGCCCATGAAACCATTGAACCAGAGGAAAAGAAAGAAACCATTGAAATCGATTCAGCAATGATAGAAAGTGCTGATGATGAAAAACCTGTAATATCCATTGACGCCGTCATTCATCGAACAAAATCTGATGAAAGTGAAACTGGCGTCAATCGCTGGTCCGTGCCTGAAATCGATCTTTCCAGCTCAAGTGAAAGCTATTACAGAAGCCTAGAAAAGAGCCCTAGTCGACCACTTTCGTCCGATGTCGATAATTTGATGACTCAAGCGAACTCCTCCGATTATCAGACAGCTATTGACGCTTCGGGAACATATCGGGAAAGTACAGAATTCGCTAGTGCAGTCAGCAGATTTGACAGCAGTTCCGAAAAAACCATTAGCTCACACGAAAGCATGCGTAGCTTAGATTCGCATTCTGAGACGTCTGCATATTTAGGCAGTATTGATGTTTCAGAGCTATCAGAAACACTCGTTGCGTCTTCAATGGAAGAGGCTGATGAAATTGCACGTTTGCAGGACTTAGCAGACGAAGAAGATAGTGAGGAAAGTTTAGACCTGGAAATGAGCGATTATGCCGCCAGAGAAGGCAATGTGCAACAATCAATGATGAAACGTTCTCAGGAAATGATTTTTAAATTAAAAGCGGACGATGGTGCCGCAGAAGAAATTGTGCCATTTAAAGGAACTATTGAGACAGTACAAATTGAGGAATATCCAAAAGCAAAGGAAGTGGAAAAGTCTTGGGACTTTGTCTATCCCAAGGAAGAACAGCGACTCGAAGAAGGCAAAGAATCTGACGATATGATTGTATCAAAATTTGCGTCGAGCTTAGATGAAGGCAGCGTTTTGTCTGTCAGTATGTCCAGCGCCTCAAATATTGACACTGTAGTGGAGAATTTTGAAGATATGATAGGATCCGTAGGTGCATCATCTGTAGCAAGTATAGAAGGTTTTATGTTTCCTTCCGATGAACATGCGTCATCATCTCTACCAGAGGATACCACATTTGTTATCGAACTAGATAATGTTAACGATCAGTCACCACAAGACACTACCAATGTCACACCTCCCGATGAGCTTCGGACAAAGCGTGGCCACAAACGTGGGGAAAGCGCATCAATTAACGACGATTTGTTAAAAAACGTGGGCGATAAAGAAATTCTCCCAAGTGAAGGAAAAGAGTCTGAAAGTGAGTCGGATACGGACCCATACGAAACTGAATATTCTCGTCAATTCCGCTCCCCAATTGATCGTAAAAGTAAAAAGAAAAAACACACGGGCGTTGATGTTGAACTTAGTTTCGTAGAAACAGAGAAGCGACCATTTACCCCTTCTCAGTTAATCGCAGAAGTTATAGTTGAAGACGCCGTTACAGAAGAGTTAGAAGCTGAAGAATGCTTTAGCGAAACACGACGCCCCTCTCAAAACATGCAAGACTATTCAAATATACCAGACATAACGGTAACTCAAGACACGCCAAAATTACCTGATTTAGACAACTTTTCATCCAAATTCCAAGAAAAGTCGCTTTACAAAGTAAAAACTCAGGAGGAATTACATAGAGCATCAGACGATCGCCCACTGTATAATGAAAAATCCACAGATTCCGAAGAGGAGAATTTTAAAAAGATGGTGCAACAACAATATCAGAAAAAATTGGCGGAATTACAAAAAGCTCAAATAGGTGACTCAGATTATGATGATCACAAAACTCCTGACTCGCCAGACTCATTTGAAATGGTAGATAAGCCAGACATCTCCGACGAATTCGTAATTATTGAAGAAGTCGCAAAAGAAGCCAACGAAGATGAAATGGGTGGCAAGAGTATACGCATCAAACCAGCAAAATATGAGTACCAGCACGATGAAGAAGTTGAGAAAATTATCATCAAATCGGCACCAGCTGATCCAAAGTTAGGTTCACAAATACTCCGAGATGATTTAAACTTCGAATTTGAAGAGAGTCCACCTACAGCTAGCAGCGGTGGAGCAGGCAGTGAACCTCAGGAAGATGCCGATCCAAATGCTGATGCAGCGTTGGGCAGTCGCCGCTGGGTAGAAATGCAACTAGTTGATAACCAATTACGCTATCCGTATGAATTAACGGGCGGTGTCTTAGAAGACATTAAAGAGGAGGATGCTGAATTTGAAGTAGGAAGCAGTCGTATTAGTAGCTTTAAGGACTCATTTTCTAGTACACCGGATTACGATGTGTTGGCTGCACGACGTCACTATTCACGAGGTGATCATGACGATATTTCAATGAGCAGTTTGCAGGAGTTTGAATCACTTGAACAAGCCATTTCGCTGGAGAATCGCAATCGAACGCATCAAGGCTCTACAGACTCAAGTAACGGCAGTTTCACACGCCGCTATATGGTACGTCACGGCAACGCTAGCGGTGTCGCTCACGGTGACGATATCTCGATATCTAGTCTCAAAGAGTTCGAAGGCTTAGAAAACGCATGCATTGAAGCGCACCTAATAGAAATAAAAGCTAAAGAGGAAGCAGCGTTGCTTTCACGATCCGATGAGTCGAATAAATCGAATGGAAGTGATCGCGATCCCACGGAAGTCAATAATGTTGCCATTGCCAAGGCAATAGGAAATTTAACGCAATCGGGAGCCATAAACGATTCTAAATTAGATATTGGGATTTTGTTAAAACAAAAGCTGGAAGAATGTGAGAAAAGAGCTGCAGATTATGTACAAAGCACAGAAGCGACGTCGGAGCGTAGAGAGATAAAACCCGACTCGACGAGTATAAAACAACATTCGACGGAAGAAAGAGAGCATAGTGTTAATATTTCGCCTACGACAGTTGCAGCAGCAACCGATAGTGATATTACAAGCAGTCGGATTGTTTCAACAACAACAACAACAACTATTTTGGGAAGTAGTAATCTTCCGCTTGCTGCAGACACACTTTCCCGCGATCAAATGACCAAGGATACCTCGATGGATTCATTGAACTTAAGTGCCGTCGATCAAACAACAAGTTCTGCAGGCACCACTGCAACATATCAAACAAGTGCCGGCAATTCACAAATGTCGGGCAGCGTAACCAGCTGCGCGTCAAGCACTTTAATGGAAGAATCTGCCATAACTACAACCAGCTCTTGGTCGAGCGAGGAGAAAACAGTAATCGAACGTCTTGACAATACAACAGATATCCAGCAAGCAAAGCATTAAACAGCACGAAGGAAGACATGCCCTTTTTTAAATTATCCTTTAGGTAAGTAAAAGTAAATGAAACCTCATTTTTTTCAATCCTCACTCACACATATCACATCCAATCATCATCACACAATAGTTCTTCTTGTTAGCTAAACAAAAAAAGCTTTAAATATTTTTATATATAAATATATATATAATTTCATATAACTGCATACGAACATGTAAACGCTGCACATTTGCATATGCAGACATGTTCTTATGTAAGTATACGTTTATGTAAGCTTAATTCATTAAAATTTTCTAAAGTTGGTTTTCGAAACCCGCCAATATTTATTATTTTTCAAATCACAACTATATTCACCCATTTGTCACATAAATTGCGCGATCAACTGACTGCACTACCGTACCTACTGATGTTAGTTATTTTCCACGCACAGATATTACAGCGCGGCACCCCAATAATAAAAATATATTCATCCAACCTTTTAAAATTAATTCGGCCTAAGTCGAATTTCATTTACTACAAAACTACTACTAAGCACTTTGACATCAAATCCCATAAGAATTATTTGTGATGCAGAGAGAGGTAAGAAACAAAATAAGAAAACATGAAAAGATAGAGATAAGGATAGGAAGATAAGGAGAATTGAAGTAAACACATACTTTGCAGGCAACAAGCAACAGCCAACAGGCAGTCAACTTTGTATAATAACGTTATTAGCTATTTTAATCAGGTAAAACTTACGTATGTAGTAGTGTTTTGTGTTTAAAGCATTCTACACTTTACTGAATAACTTACAGTTTCTTTTACATATACATTTACACCAAAATACAATACAATACAACGGAACAACTCTACATCAACGAACACTCTTTCTAAATGAAAAATTCAAAAATTATAAATATATTTATTATAAAATAATTTCTCTTTTTTTTTACAGAATTTACCAATTAAAGCAACTAAACGCAGAAGAGAACCGGCTATCATAATAAAACGAAGCAAATTTTCCCTCACGTCAAAGAGTTAATATGCGCCCGTAAAGGCTAAACACCAACATATAAATTGGACTTCGAAGTTGCTCTACTATCGTTTACTTACCAAATAATTAGTTATTATAGCTAATTGTTTAATTAATGATAAGCTTGCGATGAGATTCACACCTGAATTACTACTCCAATGAATACATACGAACATAGCACTTAAATAATTTACAATGGCTTGGCTTGGCCAACTGAAATGCACTTTTTCATTCCATTAACAATTTCAATTATTTAAAATTGAATTCTTTAACAATTATGGCATTTTGTTCTTTGTTTTTTTTCGTTTAAATTCCCAAGCCAAGTAAAACTCAAAGCGGTCGAGACCTTAGCCATAAAAATATAAAAATTTCAAATCACTTCTTTCCTGAAATAAGGCCTTATAAGGCCTCTTCTCCCCCTTCTAAAAAAAAAAAGAAAAAAAACCTCATATATGTTTAAAAATTTGACTTAAGTCTTCTGCTTATAAAGACTTTATTATAAAAAATTTATTTATTGCCTTCGACTTTTCATCTTAACTTGATGATTGGCAGATTCTTCCAACTTCATTACATGTTTCCGAAATATTGCAACTTTGATGCGATCATCATACGTTACAATCAAGCCTGACTAATTATAAAATCGTCTATATATCCTATAGCATCGAAAATCTTGTATATACCCATCAGCGGTACATGAGGGGAATGTAATAGATTTACCTTTTCGTTCGCCCCCCCCCCCCCTCCCCCGTCCCGCACACAGAAATATGCATTACAAATCCTATAAGATATAGGTGTTCTTTAATCGATGTTGGCTCGTCAATAATTCTTTTGAACTCCCTCAGGCACTGCAATTAGAATTAAAGACCAAGTTCAAAAAAATAAATTGTCAAAAAAAGAAGGAACAAAAAAAAACTATTGGAAAAATATGAAATTTCTCTTCTTTAGACTATAGAGTCTGTGACTGATATCGTTTTAAAATTGGGCACAAATATCTAATAAAACTTGGCTGAACGACAGACGGAATTGTCTAACTGAAAATGTCCTTCACCGAACACTTGACCTAATCGATCAACTGACAAGTTTTTAAACTATTAGGCAAAGATCAAAGCTGGAATTTCTACATATATTTTGCATACACGTGAAACAATGAAATACCGGAGTTTACCTGAAAACGTTTAATACACTGAGTTGAGTTAATATATCTCTCAAATAATGTGCAATATTTTGCTTGTTATTTTCTTGACACCAATCTGTCAGTTTAGGAATTTTTGAAAATTTGTAAAAACATTCATTTTTAAATCGCAATAATTTTCAAACGAAAATATCATATTTTTTTTTTTTTTTTTTTTTTGCAGAAGTGCACTGCACATTTAGATTTATAATTTATTTATTATATATTAACGAATTTTGATAATTTTCTTCTTCTTCTCGGCTCTTAGTAGCAAGAAAAAGAGTAATAAATTTCTATGCAAATGCAAAATCCGGAAAGAAATTGAAGAAAGTCCATCTACACGTATATATTATATGCATCTAATGAAAACGGACATATGCGTACGCATATAACAATATGAACAAATCTGCACACATAAATACATGCATTATATATATATATATATATATAGTTATATGTATATATATATGTATATAACTATAAAATGAATTCAAAAAAAATTGATGATAAACAACAACAACAACAATAAAAAGTAAAATTAAAAAAAAAAAAGAATATTAAACTTTTAAAATTCCACTACAATAAGTTACATTTAAGTTTCAAACTATGGAGGATTTAAAAAAAAAAAAAAAAAGAAATAACATAAATTTGCGTGCAGTACAGCTTAACGTTTAGTGATAAAACAAATACAAATATTATATTACAGTCAAGCTGAATCTTTAATACGCTCGCCACGACCCTAAATGAATAAACAATTACATATATATGATAAACGCAAGAGTTACATAAGCGTGACAAAGGCAAAATACGAACGCTAGAGGTTTTGTTTTTCTTCTTTTTTTTTTTAAGTAATGCTTTTAAAAATACATCCATCTATCTGTTGTACGCTTTAAAAGCCTAATTTGTTTTGCCTTTAAAAGCGATTAAAAAGTTTAAAGTGCTTAAGGCATTCAAATGCCTACTAAAACTTTCTTATGCAGGGTAAGAAAAACTATCAGAAACGTTTTATTAATTTAAATTTTTAATATAGTGGTGGGTTTAAAAAAAAGAAAAAAAAAAAACATACACATTTGTGTGAATTTGCTTTTATAACACAAAAAAAGAATAAAAAAAAAAGACAAAAGAAAATTATATGGAAATGAATAGAAAGGAAAGCATAAGTGATTATTAAAATATTTTTCATAGCATTTTAAAGCACATTTCAATCTTGCAAATTTCTTACATATAATCATTTGTACAATTTTCTATGTGTATTGATTGTGTGAATGCGGCCAAACAAGACTATTTATGCGAAAAATTCAGCATACACACACACACACACGCATACAATGTTTATTGCATTCATAATACACTTATGTATGTATCTATGTATGCACTTATGATTATATTAATAAACAAATATTCTTAAAAAAATACATAAAAAATATTAATTCCATTTTATAATAGCAATTAATAATAAACATATACACACAAAACATACACGCATACGCAAATACATATATTATATTATAAAACACACATACATACATACATATTATTAACCAAATAAATGCTTGAATAAAATAAAAAAGAAATGCGTTTTTCAATGTTTTATAATATTCTAAGGAAAGTAAAAGAAAAACAATAAACAAGTTAAAACTTTATAGCAAACCATGGCCCGCCATTTAATAGCCTACATTATTCCACAGTTATTCACTACTAACGACTTTTCGAAATAAGGTATTATTTTGAAAGTGAAACTTCGTAGTATACAAAATTTCATCGAAATATCAAAATATCTCAAAAATTGCGACCCGTAAGATGAACACAAAAACACATGGCAAAGACATGCTTGAATCGATTTACAAAGGGATACTGTAGCGATCGGTATAATGAAAGATGGGTCCTGAATACAAGAAAGAAAGACAGACCCACAAACAAACGGAAAGACAATCTTAACTCGATGCAAAAAGCTCTTCCGAATCGATCAATCCCTAGTCAAGTGTGGATGTTGCGTATACCCATACAAACTTAATATATGCTTATACGACAAGTGGTATAGAGTTTAAAAATAAACAAGGTAGAAGAACAAAGAAGGTTTATTTCAAATTTAAAGTTTAATTGTAGCTTGAAGAATAGCTAGGGGCGTGAAGAATAGCTTCGTGTTTTTATAAAGTACCAGCACATAGCAAAGAAGTTTTAGCGCCAGATGGAACATTCGTTTTCGTATTGAAAGTGGGCTCACAAGTGGAATTCTGACATAACCACTTAATCAGGAAATACAAAGTTGTAACCATTCATATCGTCTATAAAATGATCATGTACATTATCAGTCGTCATGTATTTTAGACGATTCCGAGTGTAAACGAGTATTTGCGAAGAATGGATGTCTTACTCAAGTTTGAGAAATATTTCACCTGTGATGAACCGGTGAAACAGATAGTTCTGATATTGCGTTAAGTTTGCTGAATGCGTTTACTAGGTAGTTCAAATAACAGTACGAGTTAAAAGAGCTTTGTAACTCACGAAATCTGTTAAAAGAGCTTTGTAACTCACGAAATCTGTTAAACGAGCTTTGTAACTCACGAAATCTGTTAAAAGAGCTTTGTAACTCATGAAATCGTTAAACATATTCTTCTTTCTGTAAAGTAGCAAAAGACACATTCCTAAATCGTGTTTCTTATTGATAACTAAACAATAACATAGCAGACCAAACTAATATACAATTATTTCCCTATATAATTATATTATATGTTACATGCAATAGAGTTTGTTTTTCGAATGCAATACAAATCATTTTTCGAATGGTATACTAATATTACAATTAGAATATATGTTGCTGCTCGGCAAGTTTATGTTTGTTTACAAACTCATATGTAGGTTTTATTAATAAATTAATATTTACGATGTAACGTTTACAATTTTGCAATTTTACCATTTAAACCGATATGCGGTCAATTCAGTAAACCCATTACTGTGTGAAGCAGCTGCTGTCAAGAAATCCAACATATGCGATAATTGATGATTTATTTTAATTCGAGGCAATTCAATGACAGAATTGTTAATCATATACACTAGCTGAAGAGAAACCAATTCTAAGGTGGAATGGAACGAAATAACTTATATTTCATGTGTAAAAATATATTCTATTTATATATATTTATATATGTACGTATGTTTACATTTATATATATATCGATATTTAATTTCATAGTATTACTTGTAATTCAAGCAGATAATATTAAGAAAAAGATTCCGAGATATTTTACACAATTCCTCTCGTGCCCTAATTAATATGTTTTATTAAAATAAAATAAAGTATTATGAGCGGAGAGACAAATTTTAAATTGTGGCAACACTATAAATCTCGTCAATTTTTTTAGTTCGAATAAAATCGTGTGCGTTAAGACATTTAGATTTTGTGCTTGGGATAGGAAAATAATTTCTTTATTTTTATTTTTCTTATCTGTGCATTGAGAACTTTTTATTTTTCATTATTTCCTTTCACATAATTAAAGGCAGATAAATGTAAGTGCTCAGACTGATTAAAAATTTCGCTCCATTTATTTTATTCGAATGACAATCACATCACTGAAAAAAGTGATGTATAAAAATGTGAGTGCCCCGGATTTTTTTTCTTTTGTTTTTTTTTAATAATAAAGTATTAAATTTATAAAAAGATGTTTTAAAAGTATCGATTAAAAAAATGTCAAGTACAAATATATGTAATATGTTTACTCTGCTTATAGAATTGCTATAAAGTATTACTCATCGTCTCTGCGTCCCCTTTTTCATTATTATAGTACAGCAGCAGTAATCACAGTGTATATTCTTTAAGTGCGTGTATATATGTATGCAATGTAATAAATGCTAAATATGTATTCGCTTTTCTGACGTTTTAATTTCATGTGTGTGATTTCATATTGGTGCATAAAAATAAATTTATCCTTGTGTACTAAGAATACCCTTTGAGTTTCTTTGTTAAAGCGCTTAATAATATAAATATCCAGCTTGAAAGACTGATGTTGCCGAATCGTGTACAATATTTGATATAATTTTGCAAAGATTTCGATTCATAATATTTTTAAAATTTCTATGCTGTGTTCTAAAAGTGTCAATGTTCGAAATATTTGCTGCCTGCTTGTTTGACCATTTGTTTACCCATTTTTGCTGAGCAAATGTAATGTATAGCCAGCCAAGTGTATGTGAAAGTGTTGTGTTTCAATTAATATTAAGACTTATATATGCTATTGTCAACTCGTATATAAATTTTCCGGTCCCTGTAAATTTATTTT